TGAGATGGTGAACACAACAGTCAAATGCATGGTTTTGATTTCATTAGAGACACATTAGTGACAAGCCACATTAATGCACCTAATTATTCCAGAATGCACGCAATAATAAATGCATGCAGTAAAGAGAGGTAAAGCTTTAGACTGTTTTCTAAATACTTCAGTTAGATGGCTGCAGTCAATTAGTTCTTCAAGTAATAACTCTATCTTCACCCATTTTTTTTTGCTATAGGAAAGAATTGTACTAACAAACCTTGTCATTGTTGCTTAGTCACTAAGTCATGTCCAACTCTTGAGACCTCGTGAACTGTAGCCCACCAGGCTCCTCTGTCCATGTGAATTCCCAGGCAAGAATACTGGAGCTGATTGCCACTTCCTACTCCAGGGGAATCTTCTGGACCCAGGAATTGAACCCAAGTCTCCTGCATCTCCTGCATTTGTAGGCGGGTTCTTTGACACCAAGCCAGCAGGGAAGCCCACTAACAAATTTAAGGTACAATATAATCTGTTTTTAGAGAATAAAGAATAATAAGAAATTAAGAAAATAGATAGGGAAAAATAAATTCTCACTCTCTCTGCGACCCCCCCCAAACAGCAGCCACAAAGTAATTTCAAAGTTCCTAAAATGGCTAGATTATGTATTAATTATAACTGAAACTTATTACTCTATAGCAATCTGTGGTTAATACCTCAATAAAATACATACTTTTTTGGTAATGGAAATGGCAACCCACTCCACTATTCTTGCCGGGAAAATCCCATGGACAGAGGAGCCTGGCAGGCTATAGTACATTGGGTCACAGAAGAGTCGGACACGACTGAGTGACTTTACTTTACTTTATTTTTAACTTTATTAACATTTAGATGATGATTAATAATTACCATAATGCAATTACTCAAAAATAGAAATTTTTGAGAAAATATAAATTCATGGCAGACCTAGACAAAAGAAGGGAAACATGTCATTCAAGTTTCAACATTAATGTATCTTCCTTCAGTTCCCCCAATTCACTGCCTTTAAAATAAAACCAGTCTATTAGAGCAAATTCATCCATGGTCGGGAGTTGGGGTGGGGCAAATATAAGTCCTATTATTTTTTAGGTTTATATTTTGGTCAAAGTATCTCAGAATCTACCTAGGTATGGCTAGAAATTTTTTTATTTCAATATGCTTTTGTTCATTTTAGACCCACAGGCAGAAAAACTGATTAGATAACCTCTCACCATTAAAAGCTTATTCGGGGTTTAATTGCACACAATATCTTGTTAGGCTGAGTAATGCAAGCATGGGCAGATAAAGGACAGAAACAGCAAGGATCTAAAAGAAGCAGAAGACATTAAGAAGAGGTGGCAAGAAGAACTACAGAACTATACAAAAAAGGTCTTAACGACCCAGATAACCACCATGGTGTGATCACTCACCTACAGCCAGACATCCTGAAGTGTGAAGTCAAGTGGGCCTTGGTATGCAAACCTACAAACAAAGCTAGTGGAAGTGATGGAATTCCAATTGAGCTACTTCAGATCCTAAAAGATGATGCTGTTAAAGTGCTGCAATTAATATACCAGCAAATTTGGAAAACTCAGCAGTGGCCACAGGATTGGAAAAGGTCAGTTTTCATTCCAATCCCAATGAAGGACAACGCTGAAGAATGTTCAAACTACTTTATAATTACCTCATATCACATGCTAGCAAGGTAGCTGTCAAAATCCTTCAAGCTAGGCATCAATAGTACATGAACTGAGAACTTTCAGATGTTCAAGCTGGATTTAGAAAAGGCAGAGGAACCAGAGATCAAATTGCCAACACCCACTTGGTCACTGAAAAAGTAAGAGAATTCCATAAAAACATCTACTTTTGCTTCACTGACTGCACTAAAGCCTTTGTGTGGATCACAAAAAGCTGTGAAAAATTCTTAAAGTGATGGAAATACCAGCCTACCTTACCTGTCTCCTGCAAAAACTATATTCAGGTCAAAAAGCCACAGAACTAGACATGGAACAATGGACTAGCTCCAAATTGGGAAAGAGTTCATCAAAGCTGTATACTGTCACCCTGCTTATTTAACTTATATGCAGTGTACATCATGCTAAATACTGGGCTGGAAGACTTGCGAGCTGGAATCAAGGTTGCAGGGAGAAATATCAACAGCCTGAGATATCCAGATAATACCACTCTAATGTCAGAGAGCAAAGAGAACTAAAGAGCCTCTTGATGAGGGTAAAAGAGGAGAGTGAAAAAACTGGCTTAAAATTCAACATTCAAAAACTAAGTATATGGCATCGGGTCCCATTTCACATCTTGCATCGCTTCAAGGCAAACAGATACAGAAAAAGTAGCAACTGACAGATTTTATTTTATTGGGCTCCAAAATCACTGTAGACACTGCTTGTAGTCACACAATTAAAAGATGCTTGCTCCTTGGAAGAAAAGCTATGGCAAACCTAGACAGTGTATTAAAAAGCAGAGACATTACTTTGCCTACAAATGTCTGTATAGTTCAAGCTATGGTTTTTCCAGCAGTCATGTATGGATGTGAGAGTTGGACCATAAAGAAGGCTGAACACTAAAGAACTGATGCTTTGGCATTGTGCTACTGGAGAACACTCTTGAGAGCTCCTTGGGAAGCACAGAGATCAAACCAATCAATCCTAAAGGAAATCAACCCTGAATACTCTTTGGAAGGACTGATGCTGAAACTGAAGCTCCAATACTTTGGTCACCTGATGTAAACAGCCCACTCTGGAAAAGACCCTGATGCTAGGAAAGATTGAGGGCAGGAGGAGATGGGGGTGGCAGAGGATGAGGTGGTTGGATGGCATGATCGACTCAATGGATGTGAATTTGAGCGAATTCGCAGAGATGATGAAGGACAGGGAAGCCTGGCGTGTTGCAGTCCACAGAGCAGCAAAGAATCAGATGCTCCTTAGTGACTGAACAACCTCAAAAATGGATACATGAATGACTACAGGAGAAATGAGAAATGGTTTATGATAGTTATCAAAGTAAAATATACTAGTAAGATAATGCACACTGATTCTTCTCACTGTCAACACTAAAATTTTAAACTTCTTTATTTTTTTGGCCACACTGCAGGGCTTACAAAATCTGTTTCCTGACCAGGGATTGAACCTGAGTCGTAGCAGTGGAAGCCCAAATTCTCACTACTAGGCCATCAGGGAACTCTCATAAACTTCTAAACTTTAGAAGAAACAATAAATTCAGTAATCAGCCAATGCTGAAGTGTATAAACTAAAATTAAAAAAAAAAAAAAAAAAACACTAAAAGATCTTAGTCATTTAAAGTTCCAAAAGCCCATGGAACCATGAGAAGCAAGGTTAAAACCTGACCCAAAGGCTAAAGTCTATAATGATCATTTGCTTAGGAAGGAATTAAGTCACCTTGTAGACCGCTTAACAGTCTTGTGACTTCCACTAAGAGTTACACAGAGAAAGAATAATTAATTATTTGCATTATGCAACAAAATTCTCTCTAGTTCCAATCAATAATCAATTAAAATACTGAATAAAAAAAGAGGCTAAACAAGTAAATAACACTGGTAAAAGTATTATCAAGCTGTAAAACAACTCTCTAGTGAAACAACATAAATAAAAAAGTAAAATAAAGAATTGTCAGGAATACATTCAATCCTACCAGTATTTCTACCAGAAATGCATTATTTAGTGTGAAATAAGTATATGCATTTTTTATTCTCCTAACTTCATGTTTAAAAAGAAAAAAATAAATTTATGGGGAAAAAAAAATCTTGAGAAGTGACAATACTGCTAATGAAACTTCCCAAAGATTTCTTCCATAGTTAAAAACAAATGTAAATATTAGGATTACATTTATTGAACCAATAGCACAGTTGGCAGTACATTATGGTGTTTGATCTAGCTCAGAAGATGCCTATAATAATTAAGCTATCTTCCCATTTTCCTAACAAGTAGGAACACTGACTAAGTAGAAATCAATTGTAATTGGAAAAGCGTTAAGTCCTAAACTAATTACCAAACTCAGTTGATATATATGACAGTTAATTAATTTAGAAATTCTAAAAGTTGCACTTAATATATATATGTGTATATATATTTATATTTATCTATATATACACACACAGCATGTAATGAATTATATAAATTAATTGACACTATATATTTCACACAGCATTGTGGAATCTTAGGTCCCCAACCAGTGATTTAACCTGCAACCACTGTATTGGAAGTGCAGAATCTTAATCACTGATCCACCAAGGGAAGTTCTTAGAAGTTTTTCAAATGGAAGTATCACAGATTCTTATTTTCTTAAATCACATTATCACAATAAACTAAGCATTGTGATAGATTTCATTCTACTCACCAAGTTTTATCCTTCAATATATAAAACCATATTGATTGATATAATGCTTTTCAGTTTTTGTTAAGTCATTATTTGTTCAGAGAACTGCTAATTCTCAAAGGATATTCTCAAAGTCATCAGTTTAAATCAGTGAGACAGATCATGGGTCTGCAATTTTTTCCTGTAAAGGGCCAGTAAGAAAATATTTTTGGCTTTGTGAGGCATATGGATTCTGTTTCAAATATTCAACTCTGTACCTAGAGCCCCAGAAGTGCCATGGGCAATACATAAATGGATAAGCATGACTGTGCCAATTAAAAATCTACTTACAAAAACAAGTGACAGGTTAGATTTCTCTATGGGTTTTGCCAACCCTGAAATAGTTAAGGAGGGGAAGAGAGGGATAATAACAAGGGGAGGGACAGGGAACAGGAAAGAAAGAAGATCAAATAAACATAGTTATGAAGTATTACTCTTGAGACTAAGTAGCTACATAGGAGGATTGCCATTATTTTTCTATTGACAACTTTGATTGTGAGGCCCTATAAAACACAACAATGTCTTTTTATGACTTGTTTCAATGTTGACAGACCTACTGGCATTCAGCATATCAGCATAAATAATGAAAATATTGATCTTCAGTAAGTACATAGGATTTGACTTACCTTAATAATGGATGGAATATGACAGTAATATTTCTGGCTCCAGGTTTGCAAACAAATTTTGTTCCTCCACCTTCAATTAAGTTGTCATCAGGACCCCCTTTCAGGAAAAAGTAAAAGAGAGATTAGCTTATTAGAACTTAAAAAAAAAAAAGCCTATCAGATGGATGTTATCCTATCATAAGGAAGATCAACTTTGAAAACAGCTGCCTTTAATGTTTACAAAATTATTTTGAATGACTTGATCCAGTCTTCCTCATTAAACAAGCAATGGATTAGCATTTTTCACTTTGGAGTGAGAACACGGAAGCGCAGTAAGAATAACTATTTAGTGTCAGCCTTTGACAGCACAGTTCAGAGGAAGGAAGACGGGCCGCTCAGGCTTGTCTAGGTAGGGCTGCAAAGGTTGGAGCACATATGAACCTAGCCAAGCCCATTTCATCAAATCTAAAACCCCATTAATTTTAAGATACACTACTCTTATAAGCAACAATAAGGAAAAAGAATCCTGCTAACTAAAGTATACAATGCTTCCTTATTAGAATTTTCTTTTTCTTATTCAAAGTTCTTTATTATAGTTTACATTACAAAACTAGGTTAAATAATTTATAAATAAACTTAAGACTTTATTAAGATTTGAGTACATCCAGTATTTTACTTCAAACTGCTGATATCCATTCTGCAAGGTTTAATATTGATATGTTCTTGATGCTATTAGAAGGTTTAAAGAGAAGGTGTTCTCATACCAACCAAGATTCATACTCTTTCCTCATATGGTCCTTAACAGGTTCACTAATTGAAATACTGAAGGGTTCAGATGTGAAGAATAACCACTCAGCTCACACATACTGAGGCAAAAACAAGTCATTATGACTATTGTCCTGTTAATAGCCATTAAGACATCACTAATTGAAGATATGGCCTAATTTCAGAGTTGACAATGTGACAAATGTACATCGACGGCTGTGGGGAGAAATGTCCCCCAGAATCCTGTTTCCTTGCATTAAAATGAAGCTCAATTAAAGTAATCTCTGGCCTCTCTCCATCTTTCACTCACCCTGGCAGAGTAATCTCCTTTGGTAAAACTGAGAAGAAAACACTGGGCATGCACAGCTTAGCAACATTCTTATTTCACTTCAGAAATCAGAATGCCTATACAAGGTCAGTATTGTCTCACTAAGTTTAGCAAATAAAGGTCTACCTTGTCAGAGAAGGATGAAATAGTCTAGCACCTTTTAAAAGCAAGTAAATTTGTCTAATTCTGATGTTCAGCAAGCAAACACATTTTGCCCTCAAACTAGGTTACACTTTCAGTCTGCCTTCTATCAACAGAAAAGTGGAAGTGGTATTTCACCTTCCATTTGCTTACATACATTATTTCACAATAGTATCAGAACTCTAGATAGGGAAGTCTATTTAATAGACTTTCTTAAAACCCTAACAATCTACACATACAATATTGCATTTCATTTTTTCTGAATTAAATAGCTTCTTTTTAATTATAGTTCTTTGCATGAGAGCAAACATAACTGAACCTCACCTGATTTACTATGTTTTAATGGTCTCTGAGGTATCTTAGAAACTGACTGATAAAAACATGTGAAGCTTAAGAAATCTATAGCCTGGATCATCAAGACTTCCCAGAGGCATCAGAGTTTAAACAAATCCCATTTGGATTAGCTGTTTCCACCAACGAATCAAAGAATGGTTTTTCTTAAGAAATACAGAAAATACAATGACACGTACAGCACTTGATTCAAAATCATGAGCTTTTTGTTCTCATTTGGGGAAAAAAAATGCATCTTGTATTATTATATTTGCATTGGAGATATCAGTGTTCTGCTAACTCAATGATTTTGCTTGGTTAAAAGTAAAACAAGAGAGTCAACACTACAACAAACACTACTCCTATAATAAAAATCTTCCTCCAAACTTCATATGATTTGGTTACAGACCAAAAAAAAAAAGCACAGAATAATAATATCTTTATTAATACTTCTCAAGATCATAAAACCAAGTCACAACGGAATCACCAAGGAAACGTGCACATGTGCAGAAGAAACCAGGTTAAATTCTGCACTCTAGGAAACACATAAATGATTCAAATGACTTCCTACAAAACAAATAAATCTACAAAAATAATGCACTAATCTACTCAATATGAGTATGAGCATATCTTCAAAGGATAAATATGAGTGGACTGCATGCTCTCTAATGGTTTCTAAAAATTCTGAAGATTTCTGATTTTAGATACTCAGTAACTACACACAGGCCTGATTAACACAGCTCCAAACTAGCATCTTCCTGGACACTGAACACACTGTATGATGACTACCTCAATGCTCCGGCCCACACTGGGCTCTATCTGGGGAGACTGCTTGTCTCTTACCACTCCTTCAGGGCCCAGGAGGTATAGCCCAAACTGTCAGATGCCCCTCTCCTGAGGTCCACAATGCCACTCATTCAGTTAAGTCGCTCAGTCCTGACCCCACTGACCCCATGCACACCAGGCCTTCTTGTCCATTACCAACTCCTGAAGTTTACTCAAACTCATGTCCATTGAGTCGGTGATGCCATCCAACCATCTCATCCTCTGTCGTCCCCTTCTCCTCCCGCCTTCAATCCTTCCCAGCATCAGGGTCTTTTCAAATGAGTCAGCTCTTCACATCAGGTGGCCAAAGTATTGGAGTTTCAGCTTCAACATCAGCCCTTCCAATGAACACTCAGGACAGAATTCCCTGAGGATGGACTGGTTGGATCTCCTTGCAGTCCAAGGGACTCTCAAGAATCTTCTCCAACACCACAGTTCAAAAGCATCAATTCTTTGGAGCTCAGCTTTCTTTATAGTCCAACTCTCACATCCGTGCATGACCGCTGGAAAAACCATAGCTTTGACTAGACGGACCTCTGTTGGCAAAGTAATGTCTCTGCTTTTTAATATGCTGTTCAGGTTCGTCATAACTTTCCTTCCAAGGAGCAAGCGTCATAATTTAAAGGCTGCAATCACCATCTGCAGTGATTCTAGAGCCCCCAAAAATAAAGTCTGACACTGTTTCCACTGTTTCCCCATCTATTTGACATGAAGTCATGAGACCGGATGCCATGATCTTAGTTTTCTGAATGCTGAGCTTTAAGCCAGCTTCTGACATTCCGCTTTCACTTTCATCAAGAGGCTCTTTAGTTCTTCACTTTCTGCAATAAGGGTGGTGTCATCTGCATATCTGAGGTTATTGATATTTCTCCCAGCAATCTGGATTCCAGCTTGTGCTTCATCCAATCCAGCGTTTCTCATGATGTACTCTGCATATAAGTTAAATAAGCAGGGTGACCATATACAGCCTTGATGTACTCCTTTTCCTATTTGGAACCAGTCTGTTGTTCCATGTCCAGTTCTAACTGTTGCTTCCTGACCTGCATA